ACACTTTCCTACCTTAAACCAAAACACAACCAAAACAGTGCTGAGGAAGCTTTGGGGAATTCAGGAAAGAAAAAAGGTTGGAAAAATCAGCGGTGGGAAAAGCTCCTGGAGTAGTGGAGGAGGGTGAATTATGCAATTAAGGTTATTTTAAAACAAACTTATATTTTTAATTGTTTTTGCATTAATTAGCAGCACCACTTCAACGTAATTACACAGTGTATTCAAACCCAGGGAAGCTGTCCAGGCTGTACAGGGTGTTTTGGGCAAAAACAGTTCAACACTGGTGCTTCCACGGAGCCAGAGCCACAAAACCACCATTTACACAGGGATTTGGGAATGTGACAGCTCTGGAATCCAGCTTTACCACTCGGGGTCACACAGACCCCTGAGACATAGCCCAGAACAACATGCCAGGCCTTTGAAAAGGCACTGCAAGCAGAGTGAAGGATCTGGGTTAGCTCCTGCCCTACCAGAAACAGCTCCAGCACTCTCCTCCATTTGGTTGGAAAAGTCTGTCAGGTCTCCCCAGCAGCAGAACCCTGCATGTGCCTGCCGAGGAGCCTTTTCCTGGGGGCAAATGGGAGGAGAGAAATGGGAGTGAGGGTTCCTGGGCCATTCCCAGCTTGTTCCCAGCCTCCTCAGCCATTCCCAGCCTCCCAGGAGCTTTGGCTGCTGTTCCAGAGAGTGAATCCACTGTTGCTGTCACCCTGACCATGCCAGTGCCAATGCCAGCAGAGGTGCTGGTGGCATTCCAACATGGAATAATAATTACATCCCACAGGGCTGTAACAACCAGGGTCAGTCATTATTCAATACTCAGGTTTCATTTGTTTTATAAAATACCTTCAGAACACAGAACTGCTCAACAAACTTCAGAGCTGTGAAGGGGAAACACAACACAGGGACTTGAAATCCCTGAGGAGAAGCTGCCAGGAACAGCTCTAGGATTAACTTTATCCCAGAAATCCTGGAGTTATCCAGGTGCTGGGGCCACTTCCTCCAGCATCCAAACCCTTTCCCAGGTGGAAGGCGCTGAAAAAGTCAAGTTCCCAGAAGAAGGGGACACAATTGGAATTCTCTCTCCTTCCTCCCCTGCTCAAAAGAAGATAGGAGTTATAGAGGAGAGAATGGAAAACACACCCAAACCCTGATCTGGGATTTCTGACTTCCTGTCCTCCTCCCAGTCTCCTGATTTTTGGGGTATTTGACTCCTCTCCTCAGATCTTCCAATTCTGGCTGTATTTTACTTCTTATCTCCTCAAATCTCCCAATTTTCAGTGGAAGAATTTTACCTTCCTCTCTTCTCTTCCTAAACCTCCTGATTTCAGGTGTATTTTACTTCATCTCCTCTCCCACCAATCTCCTGATTTTCATGTGCATTTGATTCCTTTTCCAAGTATCCTGATTTGGGCTGTATTTCACTTCTTCTCTCCCAAATTTCACTGTATTTGCCTTCTTGTCCCTCCAGGTTCTGGGTCCATCCGTGCCTCCCCAGCCTCCTCACACCCCAGCTGGGAAGGATCCAGCTCCCTCTCCACAGGCACAGCCCTTTCCTTGCTCATCGCAACTCCGCAGATCTCAAACTGGGGCAGCTCTTTTCATAGAGCTGGGAAGGATGTGTGGACTCCAAACTTCAGGAAAAATCCCTTCTTTTTTCACCAACCCTCTCTGAGGGGGGCAGAAACCACTCAGGGAACGACACAAGACCCTGCAGATCCAAACAGTTTTATGTGGGATAAAAAACCCTTCCTCAAGCAATGGAAAAATCCTCATGGACTTTTCCATCAGCTTCTAGCACCTTATTGAAAGGATGTTCCCACTGCAGATAATTTCGCCTGGGAATCCCCTGTTCTGCTTTACCTGCATCAAGAAGGATGTGTGTGGGGAGATCCCAGCATTCCCTGGTATTCCCAGGAATCACCACACTCAGATTTGAAAACAGGAAATACCTTAGAGAGATTTGCAAGTGACAACCAGGTGCAAACCTAACCTGGGATCAGGTAGAGCCAGAGGTAGGTCCAGATCAACATTCCAATTGCTCCTAAAAAGCTCCTCACCTGCAGACACACCAGGAAATGCAGGAATTTTCCTGCCATCCAAAGCCAACAGCAATCCAAAATCAGCTGCTGTTCCGAGTTCCAAAACCTCACCTGGTTTTTAACACATTCCAACTCATGACTGTACGATTTTTGGGATACTCCCCCCATTCCATGTTTGCCGATAAAACCAATCTCAGCATTGAAGCCTTCGGTGCTTTGGAAAAAATGCAATACAAAAATATGAGGAAAGAATTATTCCATCCCAGGGAATGTGCAAGTGTTGCTTATTAACACCAAAACAAACACCTGGAGAACAAAGGATTCTCCTGACACACAACCAAGAGCTTTTCCATTGACATACCAAGTACAAAGCTCAGAGCAGCTCTTGCAGGGAGCAGAGAAAATGGGCTAAATGGGAAAGAGAAAGGATTCCTGGAGCAGGATGGTTCCTTCACACATCCTGCTCTAACAGGACCCACTCAGCGCTGCTGTTCGGATCCTCACAGACTCCATCTGTCTCATCCGAGACAGAAAAGTCAGGATAACCAAAAATATATACCCAGACCTTGAAAAGAGAGACTAGCATGAGCAGATGGTTCATCAGCCCTGAGTGGTGCTTATAAAATGTGAGAATTTGAACAGAATTCCAGAATCCTGCACTGGTTTGGGTTTGAAACTCATCCCAGTCCATCCCCGGCCACATTCAGGGACACCTTCCACTATCCCAGGTTGCTCCAAGCCCTGTCCAACCTGGCCTCGGACACTCCCAGGGATGGGGCAGCCACAGCTGCTCTGGGCAACCTGTGCCAGGGCATCACCACCCTCACAGAGGGATTTCTCCATAGTATCCAATTTCTTCCCATCATCTCATCTCAACCTGCTCCCCCAGCCTCCTGGAAGGGCAGTTTGTGCCTCCTCTGAGCTCCCATCATCACTTCCAAGAACTCCAAAATACAAATCAAACACAGCAAAACTCCGTTAAAGGGAATCTGCCACCCCTCCTAAAGAGAAATCCTCCATCCAGCTCTTCCCAGATCCTGAGAAAAAGCCAAAAGGCAAAGAACTGACACCTCCTGTTCCCATGCACTCAATCCCCTCAGGATGTCCCATCTCTGCTGGTCACACACGCACGGACACCCGGAGTTTTACCCCGACTCTCTGACTGGCAATTTAATTCCAGCCTCAGCATTCCCTCCCTTCCCTGCCCGGAGCCGCAGGATGAGCCGTGCCTCTCCCAGTCTTGGCCCAGTCCCACCCCGGAGGGACCGCCCTCCCTTCCCCCGAGCAGCCTGGAAGGAGCACAGGGAGATTCCATCGGGACACGGAGGAGACATTCCATCGGGAAAAGCCCACGGGCCGCATCCCAGGACAGCCTCCCACAAGCCATGCCCTCTCCCTCGGAAGGGAACCCTCAGGACCCTCCCCAGCTCCCCCAGAGACCCCTCGAGACCCTCCTCAGCCCTCCCAGGGATCCCTCGGGACCTCCTCAGCCCCTCCAGGGACCCCGACTTCTCCATTCCCAAACTCCTTCCTGAGGGCAGAGGCGCCCCTTTGCTCCCCCCAAAATCCCTCCCGAGACCGGAAACCCCCATTCCGCTCTCCCGCCGGGCCCCTCCTCACCGAGCAGCAGCAGCTTCACCTCCTTGGCCGCCTTCTCGCCGTCTTCCCGCAGGTTGCGGTCGATCATTTTACTCCTCTCCACCGCCGCCTTATCCTCGGCGCTCAGCGTGCACCCCATGGCGGCGGCGGGGGCGGCCGGGCGGCCGGGGGCGGGGGGGCCGGGATCGGGATCGGGGCCGGGATCGGGATCGGGATCGGGGCTGCAGCTGCCTCGGCCCGGGCGGCTCCTGAGGCGGCGCCGGATTTCCGGTCCTGCGCCGCAGGGCACGCCGGGAAATGAAGTCCCACGGGCGGACAGTGTGAGCACTTCCGCCCCGGTAGAGCGGGGCATGATGGGAGGAAACATCGTTTTCCGCCACGTTAGAGCGGAGTATGACGGGGAAAGGGAGCGCTTTACTTCCGCCTCGATAGAGCGAGACATGATGGGAAATAGTGTACTTCCGGCTTTGTTTGGCGGGCATGATGGGAGTTGTAGTCCTCGCGGGGGTCGGTACAGTCCGCGGCGGCCGCAGCCCCCAGCCCCCCCTGCCCTCCCCAGCCCGCCCTCATGAAGGGGGTCCAGGCTCCGCATCCCCAGAGGGCCTCGTCTCCACGGCTGCGGGGCGGGCTCGGGGGAATGAGAGCTGGTCTCTGGGCCTGAGGAGGGGTCTCAGGGCCCTCCCGAGACCCCCTCCGCAGGCAGCCCCCCCCTCCGCCCTCCCCGACTGTAGAGGGGCCACCCCAAACCCCAAACACGAGCCCCCCACTCTTATCCCTGGCCCATCACTGGGCTTGTGCCCCCCAACTGCTGCTCCCCAACCGCGGAGGTGCCACGGGACCCCCAGTTCCCGCAGTGCTGACCCCCCAGCACATCAGCCCAACGAGGGTCGTGGGACCCGCCCCAGTCACCCGCGATGGCAGCAATGAGGACCCTCCCACACCCCGATGAGCGTGGTGGGACCCGCAGTCCCCCGGCACAATAAGGACCCCACACACATCAGCAAGAGTTGTAGGACCCCCAATCCCCCCCTGTGGTGACAGACACCCCCCCCAAACCCCAACGAGTGCTGTGGGACCCCCAACCCCGCACAGCAGTGAGAATCACTCCCACTCCAGCAAGTGCCATGGGACCCCCAACTCTCCATGGCTGCAGCAAGGAGTCCCCACCCCATCACCCCAGTGGGCGTTGTGGGACCCCCAATTCCCTGTGGCTGCATTGAGGACCCCCCACCCTCCGTGGCAATGTGTAACCCCAGCCCAGTGGGACCTCCAACCCTCCGTGGTGGTGACAAAGACCCCCTCAACAAGTCACTATGACCATCTGTCCCCTCACAGCCACATTTACCCCGACCTGCCCAAACGCTACAGCCCCGCTTTGGCAGAGCCCGCCACGGGCATGAACACCCCGTTCTCCCCACCCCACTCCATCCCCTCCGCCGCCTCCTCCTCAATCTGCCCTGGGATGCGGAAATCCACAGGGGGCAGGTCCCGCTCGGAGCTGGGGGGCTCTGGTGGGCGCCCAGTGCTCTGGAGGAACTGTAAAAAGTTCTCCTCGATGGAGCCCTCCCGGCTTGGCAGCCGCAGGTCCTCCTCGGGGGGCTGCTTGAAGAAGCAGGTGAGGAGCCGGCCGAGCTCCCCGCGGATCTGCCGGTTGAGGCAGCCGTAGAAGAAGGGGTTGGAGGTGAAGCAGCAGAACCCCAGCCAGGTGACCACAGTCTCAGCCGCCGGCCCGGCCAAGGGCCGAGTGCTCAGAGCTGTGTACAGCTGGAAGGAGAAGTAGGGCAACCAGCAGAAGAGGAACTGGCCACCCACGGCCAGCAGCACGGCAGCCGCCTTGCCCCCGCCGAACATCCTCTGCGGGGTGGTCCGAGGAGCCCCCGAGGTGGTGACCATGGTGGAGCGGCTGCTGAGCGACACCGAGCGCCGGCGCGGAGTCTCCATCCAGGTGGGTGGCGGGCCGTGGTGCATGGCTGCCACCCGTGCCACCTTGAACATGCCACAGTAGACCACGATGATGATGAGGAGGGGCAGGACGAAGTAGAAGGCGGCGAAGAAGACCACAAAGACCTTGCAGGATGGCCCACGGCTCCACTGCAAGGAGCAGCCGTGAGCGCCGGGCGCTGGCGGGCGGTCGGGGGACAACCAGCCCAGCACGGGCACCAGCGAGGTGGCCACAGCCTTGAGCCACACGCCAGCCAGCACTCCGGCCACCAGCCCCGCGGTCATCCGCACCTCGTAGCGCAGAGGGTGCACCACGTAGTAGTAGCGCTCCACGTTGACGGTCGAGATGGAGAGGATGCACATGGAGGTGAGGCACACGCTGAGGAACAGGTACACGCGGCACACGGCCTCGCCCAGCCCTGGGCTCTCGAACACGGCTGAGCCCGACAGCATCTCCAGAGGCATCAGCGTGAGGGCAGCCAGGAAATCCACCAGGCACAGGTGGAACACGAAGACGAACTTGCGGAGCGCTGGCGTCTTTGCGATGACCGTCATGACGGCGGCGTTGCCCACGATGGCCGTGAGGTCCAGCAGCACCATGAAGAACAGCCCCACAGACTTGGAGGCCACGTCCTTGGGCTTGGCCTCGGCAGTGCTGTTGGGGGGCCGGGACCCCCCTCTAGAGCCATTCCAGCCCCACGGGGAGGGCAGGAAGGGCTCCATCCTGTGCCGCCGGCCTGGCGGCGAGTACGGCGCAGCCGGGCATCGCCAGAGGGTCACATCCTTGGTGCTCCAGGGGTGGGGGTGGGGGCCGCTGTGGGGGTGGCACTCAGAGTACCCAAAGGTGCCCCCCAGCCCCACTCATGTCCCCGCTGCTCAGCGAGGGGGTACCTGGGGGAGGTGGAGCTGTCACTGGGGGGGCAGGACCCTGGAGGACCCCTGAGCGCTGAGCTGGACCCCCAGTTGCAGCCCCCAGGTACCTGGGGGGAGGTGGAGCTGTCAGAAAAGGGGGAGAGACTCTGAAGTGACCCCTGAGAGCTGAGCAGGACCCACAGTTGCAGCCCCCCCAGTACCTGGGGTGAAGATGGAGCTGTCATGGGGGGGAGACCCTGGGGAGAACCCTGGGAGCCCGGGGGGGCTCACAGGTGACCTCTGTCATGGCCGGGCCACAGCTGTGCTAGGGGGAATGTGGAGCTGTCATGAGGGGACACAGCCCTGGGGCGGACCCCTGAGATCCGAGCTGGACTCCCACCTGCATCCCACAGGTACCTGAGGGCAGGTGGAGCTCTCAGAAGAGGGGGGAGACCCTGAGGGGACCCCTGAGAGCCATGGTGGGATCACAGCTGACCCTTGAGAGTCACACGGTGGGTCTCAGTCCAGTTGTGACCCCCATCCACGGCCCCCAGGCACCTGGGAAAGGTAGAGCTGCCAGTGGGCACAGAGAGCTCTGGGGGGACACCTCCCTGAGATCCCAGGGAGGGTTCAGCACAGCTGTGAGCCCCCCACACATAGTCCTCGTCACCCCCTATCCATCTCCACAGCCCCCTACATCAAATCCCTTCCCCAACCAAAAGCCTTGTTCTCCCAAAAATGAGTAGTTCTGGGATAAACCCCCCAAATTCCAACGTTTCAACCCAAACCACCCCAGTGGAGCCCTTTGACCAGAGTGTGGGGACCACACGTGGGGCCGGGATGGGTGGGGGGGTCCTGAGAATGAGGGGAGGGGAGGGCCCCGCACCCCCAAGTCCTGGGTTCACCTCTTGTGCTTGGAGGCCTTGTGTGACCCCCCCACCCTGAGCTCACACCCCCTCCATGCGGATATGAGGGGGATGTGGGGGGTACCCAGGAGCCCCCCGGGTGTTCCCCACGGGGGCGGGGGTCCCCACCCTGCCCCCGCTGCACCCCGAGGGAGGGATGCTGACGGAATGGGGGGTGCAGCCGCGGCTCCCCCCTCCCCTTCTCACTGCCCATTTCCCTCGCCCAGAGCCCCGGAGCGATGTCCCCGGTTGGGGACCCCCCTCCCAACCTCGGGGGAGTCTCCCCCACCTCCCCAGTATCTCCCCACCTTCCCAGGCCGTCTCTCCGGCGGGGCTGCTCGGCCGCGGCACCTACCCTGGGGGTCTGCATGGAGCCGGCTGAGGGCGTGGGTCCCCGGTCCGGCCGGGGGAGGGGTCGGGGCTGGGGGGTGTCCCCGGGGCGGCGGGGGATGCTCGGGGCTGGAGCCACTGCGGCGAGGGTTGCTCCGCACCGCCCGGCTGCTGGGTCCTAGCGCCGCCCGCCTCGCCTCGGTACCCCGGGAACGGCCCCCCGAGCCCCGGAGCTGCGAGCCCCGGAATGGGGTGCTCGCTGCCGCCCGAAGCCTGGCTTTGCTCCCCCAGTGGAGAGCGGAGGATGGGACGCCACCGGGTGCTGCCCCGCGTGTCGCTTCGTGCCTCAGTTTCCCCATTTGCCTCCCAAAAGCGATGCGGAGAGCATGGGGCGGTCTCCGGGGGGGAGAAGCCCCTCGGGGAAGGGAAAGGGGCAGCTCGGGGGGTGTAGCGCGGAGGTTCTCTCGGGGGCAGAGAGGTGGGAATGGGGGGGATGGGGTGCAGATTGGCAGTGGGGGGCACAGGGTGGGGGTGGGGGTGCGGACGGTGCCGGGGGGGCCGCTCAGAGGGGCCGCAGAGCCCCCCCAGCACTGCCCCCAGCGCTTGCTCCCAGTTCAGCAATGGGATGGGGTCCGCGTCCCTCCCCGCCACGCCCCGTGCCTCAGTTTTCCCAGGACACGGCCATTCCCTTCCAGGAAGGGGTGCCCATCTTTTCCATCCCTCCAAAATCCCGCTGGAGCTGCGAACTTTCCCCCTGGCCCCCATCCCAAGGGTGTCCGGGTGGGATGCGTGGCCACCAGATCCCATTCCCGGGATGGGAATCAAGTGATCCATGGGTGACGTGTGTGTGTCCCTGCGCGTCACGTGTCCATTGCCAGGCTACGGGCTCCCAAAAATAAATCCACCCAAACCAGATTAGAAACGCCCGACCTCGGATGAACCAGCCCCGGCATTCTGGGACCCGCGGGAGGCTCCCGGTGGGACCCCAGGCACCGGGAACGCCGGGAAGAGCGGCATGCAGGCTCCCGGTGAGCGGGAACACGGCGGATCCACGGGGATCCATCCTGCCCGGGGTCCCGCCTCTGTGGACAAAGTAGAGCACGGGAGTGAGTGCCGGTGAGAGTGGGGGGACACACGGAACTCCCCTTTTCCTGGCAACCCGTGTGGGCACCCTCCACACGTGTGGAACACCGGAGGACGCCCCACCATGGCAGACACCCCGCTCTGGCACCCCTGGTATCCCTGGGTACCCCACTGTCCCAGCCCCTGGCATCCCAGTACCCATTATCTTGGCACCCCAGCACCCCAATCCACAAGCACGCCCCTATCCCAGCACCTTGGGACCCCAGTGCCTCAACATCCTGGCACCCTAGTACCTCAACATCCTGGCACCCCAGTACTCAATACCTTGGCAGCCCAGTACCTCAATACCTCAGCACCTGTGGCATCCCAGTCCCCCACACCCCATCACCCTGGTATCCCAGTATCCCAGTGCCCTGGCACCCCAGTGCCTCAGCACCCTGGCACCCCAGCAGATGAACATCCCAGTGCCCCTGAGCAGTGGAACCCCAGTACCTCAGTCTCCTGTCACCCCACTATCCCAGCAACCCAGCACCACAACACCCCAGTCCCTGTGCACCCCCTTATCCCAGCACCTCAACACCCCTTCATCCCAGTACTCAATACCTTGGCACCCCAGTACCCCAGCATCCCGGTACTCCAGGATATCAACACCATGGCATCCCAAGACTACTGACACCCCAACATCCTGCTACCCCATCACCCACCCATTATCCCAGGACCCTGGCACGCCAGCAATCCAACACCCCAGTGCCCCAGGACAGTGGTACCCCGGTGCCACAGTGTCCTGGCACCCCAGGAGTCCAGTCTTCTGCCCCCCCCCCCCCC